CACCTGGACTGGCAGGGTCAGCAGGCTCGCACCCCAGCACCTGGACTGGCAGGGTCAGCAGGCTCGCACCCCAACACCTGGCCTGGCAGTGCTGCTCTCTGGTCTGCAGCCTGGGTATCGAGGGAGTCAGCACGCGGGGAGGGCAGCGGCAGTTCAGCTCCCGTGACAACTGCCGACACTCACCAGATGCCCACGTCCTTGTTGCTGCTCAGTATCCAGGTCAGCGCGGCCTCAAACCTTGCGGAGGGGCTGCTGGTCACGTTCTGTGGGGTGGAGACGGGGTTTAGCCCTGCCTCGGGCACTGCTGGCAGGACGTTATTCGGAGGCCGGACTGCCAAAGCCTCTCCTGTGTCCCCCACATGCCCCACGCACAGCAAACAGGCAGGGAGGGCAAGCTGGGGCGAGGAGAGCTAGGAAGAGGCTGATGCAAAGCTCAGCAGGAGAACAATGCAGGTCTGCGGGCAGCAAGAAAGGCAGAGGCAGAGGCGGCAGCAGCAGCAGCAGCAGCAGCAGCAGCAGCAGCAGCCAGCGAGCACGCACAGCTGGCACCAGCGGAGATGGGGAACGAGAAACAGCGCCAGGGTTGGAGCAGACGACAACCAGTGACAGCTGTGCGGCCTCAGAAACCCCCTGGCCTCTCTTTCCTCAGTTTCCTCATCTATGAAGTGAAACTGAACTACACAGCCCTTCAGGCCCTGTAAATCCTCAAGCTCCATAACTACCATGGGAGAGAGGACACGGGCCTCCCGCTGTGCAGAGAGAAGGGGCGGGCCTGAGGACCCTTTGAGGTCCTCTGAAGGACGGGCTGCCGGCCATGGCCATTCAGCTGGTGAAGGGGCCTCAGGTCGGACCAGATCACCTGCCCCCACTCAGCAGGGCCAGCCTGGGGCACGGTCCCTCCACAGGAACCCATGGCTCCTCTAAATTAAAAGAAAGAAAACCAAAAGCCACAAAGCAAATACAAAACAAAAAGGGAAGAAAAACAAAACAAAACAAAAAACCTGCAGGGCTCGGCAAATCAATCGGAAGCTGCGGCCTTGCAGGGGGAGCAGCCTGCATCCTACTCACAGCTATGTATTCCTGAGCCTCCAGAACAGGGATGCATTTGCTTTTCAGCTTCTCCGGATTGCCACATTCAAAATTACCTAGGAAGGAGGAAAAAAAAAGAGAGAGAGAGAGAGACATTCAAACACAGAGGTGAAAAAAAAAAAAATCACACTGAAATGGCCTAAAAATACGGTGAGAATCAAGCCATCAGCTATAATCAGGAGCATGTGGCCCAGCGGCACCCAGCTTCTGTGGGGCATCTTCACTCTGCAGCAAGATCAAAAGCCACTTAGCTTGGATCGATTCCAGATCATTAAAACCTGACCTGCAAAGCAGGGCAGCGATTTGCATTAAATGACTGAAAAGCTGCCCAATGCCAAAGTCTGTTTGCGGCTGATCCCTAGAAGGATCAGACAGAGAGCTGCGGAAGGTACCGGAGTAGCTCTATAAATATACACAGCCTGGGAAAAAAGAAAGGCAGGAGGCCGGCCACCAGACACTCTGATCCGGACACACGCTGGAACCTGGAAGCCAAGCCCATTGTTAGAGAGATCCTGGGGAGGGATGTCCAGAAGGGACCCAGGGAAGATGAGACGTCTGTGGGGTGTCAGCTGATAGGCCAAGGGCAGCTCCTCTAAGCTCCACCCTGTCCTGTCAGCCTTCGCGGCCTGGGCTGAAGACCACCTCTTGAGACGCCCCCAGTAGACCTCAGCCTGCTGCGGCTGTTAGTCCTCCTGTACAGGGTTTCCTGCCAGGCCCTGCAGGGACAGCCCAGGGTGAGGCACATACAAGGTAGTCACTCATGCACAGCCTCCCCTGGGGGCTCAGCCGGGCTCAGTGTGTGTGTGTGGGGTGTGTGTGTGTGTGTGTGTGTGTGTGTGTGTGTGGTGTGGCTCGCACTGGGCAGAGAGGGGCAGTTTTTGACTGGTCCTTCAAATCAGCCAAATCCTCCTACTTCAACACTGCTCTTAGCCCTGTGTTTTCTGAGGCCAAGGCAGCTTCTTTGGTCCTCCTGCCATACCTGGATTAGTCTGGCCCTGGCTGGGCACCTCAACGGCCTCCTGATTGGTTTCTTCTGTCCCCTTTCCATCTCAGAGCTTTGCCAATGAGGCTTAACGATGATTCTGCTTCAATGACACAGCATCGCTCAGTTGCTGGGCACATGCCCTCTCGGCAGCTGGCTCTCACTCAGCATGTCACTCCCTGGCCTGCTAGAACGGGCTGTGGCCGGGCACCCACACTTCCTGACATTGCTTCCTCTTCTCTTGCCCATTACTGCCAGTCATTTTCGTGCCCTTGCCTGCATGCCTGCACTCAGGCCGACCTGTGCTGGCACAGTGCTTTCCTGACCACTGTGGCACTGTGTGTCACCATGCTTCCTGCAGTGTGGCCCACTGTCATGTTAGACCACAAGCAGCCACTTCATTCCCTACCAGGGCCAGGACAATACCCAGCCACAGTTCATCTCTAAAGGGATAAAGGGGTGTAGCTCACATTTCCTATCAGTCTCTGAACTTCAGCCCTTGCCTTGCCAAGGCCCTTGATGGCATCAGCCAGGTCCAAATTGGGCAGGTGGAATGGAGGACAGGAACTCAGAACTAGTGTGGAACAGAGTAGCTCTACCCCAGGCTGCCCACAGACCACCCGGGCCCTTCCTACAAACAAGAGGGAGACCCGGGACCAGTGCCTCGGGTCCAGGGGACTTCCAAGGCCTGGTCCCTTCCAACCAACACAAGGCCCCAAAACATGGCGGGACAGAGTCTCGTACCTGCCGAGAGGCCCATGTGTTTGTGGACCTAGAGCCTCTAGGGAAAAGGGAGGTCCAGGCCTGTACTGCACGCCCCCAAGGCGTGGCATGATGAGCTGGAGTGGCGGGTGGGAAACTGGGTCTTGGCAGTGCTGGGCTGTCTTGGCCAGACTGACGGGGCACTGCGGTGCCTGGTGGTACTCACCTGCTTGGATGGCCAGGAAGTTGTACAGCTCATGCAACAGCTCCAGCAAGGCCGCCTTCTGCTTGGCCTGACAGAACTGAAAGGCAGGGGGACAGTCAAGGGTCTGTCTGTGGCCGCAGCCACACTGCCACATCCATCCGGACAGCAAGGAACATCTCTAAATTTTAGGGGCTTTCTTTTTTGTTTGTTGAGACAGTCTCATGTAGACCAGGCTGGCCATGAGCTGGTTATGTAGCTAAGGATGATCTTTAAGCCTGCTCCTCCTGTCTCCAGCTGGTGAGCGCCAGGATTACAGGCCTGTGCCACCATGCCCGCTTTATGCAGTGCTAGAGCCACATGTCCAGCGCCCCCTCCTCGTTCCATAGGAGAGAAATACACCTGCAGAGGGCTGGCAGGGAGAGGGAGGGAGTGATTGGTTCTGGGGCATAAAGACAGCACAGTGACAAGGGATGGCCGCCATGGCTCCAGCATGACTTCCTGTGAAGAAGAGCAAGGGATGGTAGCCCAGCTTGCAGACACTGGAGGGTTCTGCAGAGAATTCAGTGACTGCAGGAGGTGTAAGGCCGTGCCTGAGGGGGGCTGCAGTGGGGACTCCATGTGAGCCCACATATAAAGCACAGGACAGACGGTACCAGACAGAAGATGGCCTGCTTAAGACAACACACCCACTCCCAGTCTGTCCCTACTTTCTCCACAGCAGAGGCAAAAAGAAAAATAGTATCAGAATTCTGCTGCCAACAAGACTAACTTACCTGATACTTAAATACTTGTCTGGACTTGGGGTGAGCCAGGCCACCCAAAGGAAACTAGCAAGAAACCTCACTGGGGCCAAAAAAGATGCCCCTGCCTGCCTGCTCCTGGGCCCACCTGCCACGAAGGCCAGGGGTGTCCAAAGCGGACAGAAAATGAATCTCGTGCAGCTGTGGCCCAGATCTGCTGTCCCCTCACAGATGTGGGTGGGTTGGCTACAAATCTGCAGTGTCTAGAGTCCAAAGCCCAGCGCTCCAGGCACTGAGGGGAACAGCTCCGCACAGCCCAGCGGGACCTGCAGGTGGTGTCTGGGCTCACAGAAGGCCAGGAGCCCACGTGCCCTTCACCTGAGGTCCACCATGTCGGTAGATCATGTAGGACTGGAAGGGAGCCTTAGTGAACTCAGTGGCAGACAAGAGAGCAGGGGTGCTGTGGAAAGCTCTTGCTCGTGTTTCTGCGTCTGTCCCTCTCTCTGGCTGCCTGCTTCTGGAGCACACTATAATCATCAGCCCAGCTTTATGATGGAGAGCAGATTAAACTTATTATGAGCCTGGCTTTGCAGAACAATTGGGAAGCAAAAATGCTTGGTGGATGACAGCAATAAAGAAATGTCGTAAACCAGCCGCAAACAGGACACATCAGAAGCCAAGGAAATAAAACCAGGGGATCTGCAGCAGGCTGCCCTCCATTAACAAGGGGGAGGGGCAACACAGGCTGTCCTTTCTTTGCTAGCCCCTGGCCTCGGAGGCCTGGCACCCACACTTAATAATTAGAGCGCTAAGTCATGCCCTCTGGCAGCACACGCCTCCTCCTGGTAGGATTTATGACTTGAAAATTTACCGCCTCATATCTTCCTCAGACTATCACCAGAACCGGCTTCCTGGCTGTGCATTAATGCTGCTCACATGATTCATACGCTGAGGGCCACTCACCTTCCCCAAACATTATTTGTGGGGAATGTGAGGGCTTCATAAAACAAACCGAAACATCGGCTAAGAGGCCTAATTTCCCTCACCTGGCCCCTGATGTGTCAGATCAGAAATCAGAACGCTGTCAGAAAGACAGATGTGCACAGAGAAGAGGCAAACCTAAGACTGGCTTATCAGCGGTCGACACGGGCAGCCCTGCGTGCCGCACAGCGGGCGGAGAGGTGCTCCCCAACTCCCAACTCCCTGGGCTGACTCAGGCAGAAAATCAAAGGCCTCAGATGCTCCCACTGATGGAGGAACATCTGTAAGAAGGCCAGGGCTGGCTCTGAGGAGCTCAGTCCTCCATATTTCAAGTACTGCTTTGCTCCCAGAATTAAGTCTGACACAAACACCATGGAACACGATGTGAATCCAGTACGTTCTGGGACACTCTCCCTGAAAATGATCCTATCATGATCTGGGAAAGTTTACCTCTGGGTGGAGGCTTGAGTCCTCAAAAGAGTAAAAAAAGCAGAGAAAACTTACCTCATCTGTTTTTCTCTCACAGTCCACCGGCAATAATTTCACTGAGACCAAGAAAAGAAAGACAGAGATTAGAAGTGGGACGGAGGAAAAGACAAGAGAGACTTCTCAAAATCCAGGGGAAGTAAAACTCGGCTGACACGAAGGTAGAGGCTGGAAGATGCCGCCTCACACTAACACTGTACAGTATGGACAGTGAGAGCCAAGGGTTTCCCATGCTGGATCAGGACACTGACAGCTGGGGCCTTGTTCCAGTGCAAATGAGCCCCACAGGTTCCGGGCAGTTTAACCTCTAGGCACCCATTTCTGCACCTGTGACATGGGATCCCGTGGGCCTTCCTAAAAGGGATGTCCACAGTGTAATCCAGCACTCAGAAGGCTAAGGAAGGAGCTGCAGTCTGAGGTCAGTCTGGCCTACAGAGAGGATGTTGTCTCAAGAAACAAAAAAACGGGCTGGAGAGGTGGCTCCATGCACTGGAGCACTGGCTGCTCTTCCAGAGGACCTGGGTTTGATTCCCAGCACCCACATGGCAGCTTACAACCATCTGTAACTCTAGTTCTAGAGAACCCAACGTCCTCTTCTGGCCTCCTTGGGCACTGCACACATGTGGTGCAGAGCACATGTAGGCAAACACCCATACACATAAAACCACAAATGCCCTCCCTGCTTAACTCAGAGTTAGGCTCAAGACAGCATACAGGAAAGTCTTAGGAGCTGTAAACGACGGTATGTCAAGTAATAGTTAATCCCGTTATGGGAGGTAATTCTAGGAAATCCTGGCTATGTATTCCCAAAGCCTGTCTTAAATCACCTTAAGCAATAAGCAACACAACGCTATGTGATTTCCCCTGAATGGTCACAGCCCAGGACAGGTCAGTGGCACTCAGCTTGGCTAATCTCTACCAGGCCCATAAACTATCTCCAGCAGTGCAGCAGTCATTGGGGTTAGCATGGCCAACAGACTTGTACACACCCAAACATCCAATTATCACAACCCCTGACATGACACAGTGAGTCAGCTTTTCCCTGTATTTCAGCCATTCCTGCTAGGCGTGGGAAGAGGTGACCTTGACAGAAGGCTGGCGACAGTATTAACTACCTTCATGCTTTGCAAAGAATATTAGCAACTGGAGAACTGAAGTGTCATTGTATACCTAAATTTGTAACAAAATGATCTGAGTCTGGTGACTCAGGTCTATAATTCGAGCTAGGGGAAGCTAAGGCAAAATCATAGGTTCAAAGCCATCCAGAACCACAGAGTGAGTTCAAGACCAGCCTAGGTAACTTAGGGAGGCCCTGCTTCAAAACAGTTTTCAAAAGTCAGCTAGAGAGTGTAGCTCGGTGGTAACATGCTTGTCTAACGTATGTGAGACCCTAAATATAATCCCTAGAGCAGAGGAGGAAATTATCATGAAAATGGAGTGCTTTTTTTGTTCTTTTGTTAGAACCAAGAGTAACAGGCAAAATCCCATTTTGGGAAACACCAATCCTCAGCTATTCAGGAGAACTGTCTCCTGCATCCCTCAAGGGATGTGGAGTCATGTAACTGAGTGTGGGCAGCATGTCTGCTAAGCGGCCTGACTCACAGGCCCTCTCCCAGCACAGCCTGGGGGTGCTGCCAGCAGCCTTAGGCACCCCATTGTTATCCGTTTAAGCTCAAAAAATTCTCCCACACCTGTGCCACAGGCAGGGCGAGAACCCTTTTGACGAAGCAGACTGGGTTGTTCGGTGCTACAAAGCTAAGACCACAACCAGGCACTCCTAGAAGGCCAGGGGGCTCTCTGGAGCCTTCGAAGCGGCTGTCAAGTGTGAGCAGGCGGTCAAGAGGGAAGAAAACCAGAGGGGCAAGGGGTGGGCCTGTCTGTCGAGAGGAGGTGTGCAGCTTTCCAGGGGCTGTGAAGGACTCGGCCTGCTCCTAGCAGAGGCTGAAAGGGAGACACGAGCAGGGAGGGAAGCAGAGAAGAGGATAAAGTGGAGGCACAAGGTACTGAGCTGCCGGAAGGAGGAGAGTGGGAGTCCGGAGGTGAGAGGCAGTCGGAGGCTGCCAGGGCGCGAGAGCGCGCTGCGGGCTCCGCGGGCCCGGGGGTCCGGTCGCACGCCCGTGCCCCGGGGCCCTCCCCTGCGCCGGCCCGGGACGTACTGTTGTCCTCCGCCTCCTGCGGCGCCGAGGGCTTGCCCATCTTCACCCAAAGGATGCCCAGGAAG